TGATTTTAAACGTATCCAAATCCATGTTAATAGGAAGTAGAGGACGCTTAGTCAACAGCCCACTGCTAAATCTTTCCATAGCTGGATCGGTATTAGAACAGGTCACCCAGACTAAATTACTTGGTGTTACCATAAACCACCACCTTTCATGGTCTCAGCACATCAACTCTGTTATAAGGAAAATGGGACCGGGCATAGCTATAGCTAGGAAATGCTCCTTTTATATTACTTCTTCAATTATGAAAGATGTCATTAATGCACTAGTGTTATCTCATCTAGAGTGCTGCTCAGTCATTTGGTCAGCAGCTAATAAGACAGATCTGAACTTCAGTTAGTCCAGAACAAGGCGGCCAGATTAGTGTTAAGGTGTTCATACAATACAAATATCGATAAAATGCACGATAAACTTCCTTGGCTTTTTGTAAAAGCCAAATTATACAATGACTTACTTGTATTTTTAAAGAAAGCAATACTGGTAAACACACCATATTTGTTTTCTGCTCAGTTGCAGCATCCAGATGAAATGCATAATCATAGTACATTTGGTAACTCCTCCGGTTAAAAGCAACTTTTTGTTATATTCAGAGCATCTTTTCAGTGGAATAAGTTGCCTTATGCAATTAGAGAACTGGCTTCTATTCATAATTTGAAAAATGACTTAAAAGCCTATTTAGGCAGCTTTTAATTTATTGTAAATATTGTAAGAGGGTAAGGTCATTTGTAATGGAAATGTGTGTATTTTGTCATAGTGTTATTCCTGGGGGTTTGGGCCCCAGGAAGACTAATGGGGTTCATTTTAAATATGCAAACAAATAAACAGAGATGACAGAAAAACACATCAATGGTGTCTAGACAGGCTTAAATCAGGGGTGTGGCTTTATTAACGAAAGTACACCGCTTTCTCGGGTGACCATCTAATCCACTTTCACACTCCTGTCTGAATGGAAACATGTGTCGACACAGAGAGGAACAGATGATTTTGATCTCTCAGCTCCATGTCCTTTTTCATACAGATGGCCTGCTACCTGCAGACAGATCCTCTTATATAATAAATGTGGATGGATGATACAGATAACACACACATCTGGTGCTGTTCCGCATCAGCCGCTGATCCAGCCAGTCAACTGGCAGTAAGCTGGCTTTGCGAAGAAAGAAAGATGCCCTTGCTGGTTTTTCAGTTTTTGAGAGTATGTGGCAGACTTGTCATATAAAGACAACATGGGATAAAGGCTGGAAATGCACAAGTTCTTTTTTTGTGTACTTTTAACGTTAAATTAAAAAAAACTTGTGCTAAACTAGGTCATAACATAACGCAGAATGAGATTCATCCTCTGTCAGGATGTAAAAAATGTAACAGCATTCTCAAAAAAATGAAATGAATGTGTGCATTTTCCATCGGGCCCTGAATTATGTATTGTTGTTTTTGTTTTTTGTTTTAACTGGGCCCTTACTCGTCAAACCCTCTGCTCAAAAGCAATAAAAAATTAGGACTGACATCAGTAAAACTGAGTTCACATTGCTCACTGTCTCTTTAACGACGATATCTCTAAAAGTACATTCAGTAATCTGCAACTGAGTGAGTATACCGTAGAGTGATTGCTATGTGAGTTGAGGAATAATTGATTCTAGGTTGTTTTTTTGCTTCTTTCAGAAATTTCTGTCACTGATAAAATGCTGCAGAGACACATCTGGAGGTTGACTTGTTTTTTTAATGATAGTCTTAATGCTTTTTTGTTGCTTGAGATGATGAAAATGGGTTTTGACAAATACTGCCTTAAAGGTATAGATGATCTCCATCTGGTTCTCCCTGCTATTAAAGCACACGCGCATAAACACAACGTCAAACCAAGAGAAACACATCAGATATGTGTCTCAGTAAAAATATGTATCTTGTGTTTGTGTGAGAGTTTATGCTCGTTTATCTTTGCCCAGTGTCACTGAAAACACTTCTACAAATCAAAGTGAACCAAAATCTCTCCTCAAGTAAATACAAAAAGGCATTTTTAAAATTTATGATTTCATTTATTAACCTCCTAGGACCTGGCATCCACATATGTGGACGTCACATTTTGGGTTATTTAGACCAAAATACTCAATTTTGCTCTACAAGGGCCTGATATCCACTTACGAGGACATTATCCTGCTGCTGTTCTATCAAAATTTTAAACAAATATCCTCATATGTGGCTCTGATTTTTCTTAGAAACAAAAATAAGGTGAAAAAAACCCTGGTAATTCTTTGTTTTAACATTCATCAGGTCCCAATCAGCCCAAATATCAAAGAGAAATTAAAAATGCTGCCGTGGAAGAGTTCGGGTCTTAGGAGGTTAAGGAAAGAAGCTCTCCGTGTGTCTACCTGGCCCCATGTGAAAAAGTAGTTGCCCCCTAACAGTAAGAACTGGTTGTGCCACCCTTGCCAGCAAGAACTGCAATCCAGTGTTTGCAGTAGCTAGCAATAAGTCTTTCCTATCACTTTTAGTCTACTCTTCTTTGAAGGATTGTTTTAATTCATCCACACAGGAGGATTTTCAAAGTTTAAACTCAGGCTAAAGCATCTAAACTGTTGCTTTGAGTCAATCAGAGATAGATTTTCTGCTGTGTTTCAGATCATCGTCCTGCTGCAAAACCCAAGTGTGCTTGAGCTGCTTAGGGTACGAGCATTATCAGCATCTACATAACTCTTGGAAATTGTTTGAATTACACTTTCATGATTAAAAATTATACAATTTATGTGTAGTAAATAAAAAATGTGGCTGTAACTGACTACTTCGTCTTACACAGTGAACATGTTTCATTGTGTAGCGGGCAGGAAATAGAACGCAAGCGCAGGACTCATACGAGGG